CCTTGCCTTGCCTTGCCTTGCCTTGCCTTGCCTTGCCTTGCCTTGCCTTGCCTTGCCTTGCCTTACCTTGCCTTGCCTTGCCTTATTTTACCTCACCTTATATTATACCTTACCTTACCTTACCTTACCTTACCTTACCTTACCTTACCTTACCTTATTTTACCTTACCTTATTTTACCTCACCTTATATTATACCTTACCTTACCTTACCTTACCTTATTTTACCTTACCTTATTTTACCTCACCTTATATTATACCTTACCTTATTTTACCTTACCTTATTTTACCTCACTTTATATTATACCTTACCTTACCTTACCTTACCTTGCCTTATTTTACCTCACCTTATATTATACCTTACCTTACCTTACCTTACCTTACCTTACCTTACCTTATTTTACCTTACCTTATTTTACCTCACCTTATATTATACCTTACCTTACCTTACCTTACCTTATTTTACCTTTAGTTACCTTATTTTACCTCACCTTATATTATACCTTACCTTACCTTACCTTATTTTACCTCACCTTATATTATACCTTACCTTACCTTACCTTACCTTACCTTACCTTACCTTACCTTACCTTATTTTACCTTACCTTATTTTACCTCACCTTATATTATACCTTACCTTACCTTACCTTACCTTACCTTACCTTATTTTACCTTACCTTATTTTACCTCACCTTATATTATACCTTACCTTACCTTACCTTACCTTACCTTACCTTACCTTACCTTACCTTACCTTACCTTATTTTACCTCACCTTATATTATACCTTACCTTACCTTACCTTAACTTATATTATATTATACCTTACGTCTTATAAAAAAAAAAACACTCCTGCTCGTGTTTTAAATAGTACATCGTACATACTCACCAACAATAAAGTAGTCTCTATATAAAATAGAAACCCAATATAATAAGAACGAAAATACGACTCTACAACCAGCTATAGCAAACTATAGCATGCTTTCGAAAAGGTATATTGATACGTCTTTCAGAAAGTGTACAGTATTATAGCACATTGATTTCTTTATTTGTAGATGTGGTTGAATGTAGTACAGATAAACCTACTCAGCCAGCGAAGCCGACCAATGGTGATGCTGAATTTGATGAAGATGACGATGATGATGTCGTTGATCTACGAGCGTTTAATACAGCTGATAAAGTGATTTATATGGATCTGTTTGAATTGCCTCCTCAACCAAAAGTTGTTAAGAACTGGGTCATGCAGCACAGTAAGTCATTCACACAACAAATCACCGTCAGAAATTGCGGCCACAAGTTAAGAGCTTAAGCCGGTTACAGACGAGCAAGTTTTCTATGTCAAGTTTTCATATGACAAGTTTCATCCGCTCGTCTGTACATCTATTAGGCAATTTTGCCAATTTTTACCATGACAAGGTCAGAAAACCAAAAATTTGTCATAAAAAATTTGATGTACGTGCACACGGGCAATTGAGAAAACAAACTTGCCATATGAAAACTTGCCATAGATGACCTATCTCATCTTAACTGAACATGCGTAGAATGTACATACTGACGTGTACTGACTCTGCTACATTACTTCAAGATATATTTGGCGAGGTTTTTGATTTACTGGTAGCATTATATCAATAGGTATAGTTGGGGCAACTGTCCCAACACATTTGAAAATGACTGTAATATATAGCTACAATTTGCATAATTTTCCATGCTTGAAAAACACAACAAACACACTTTTAGTCAGTCAAATCATAACAAGTAAGTCTCTCTGGGACTTTAATGCAGCGTCCAGAGCGGGTAAACTTTGCAGTTGGGATAAAAGCTGTCGTATGAAAACAGAAAGCATTCATCCCACTCTGCTGAGCTTTCCAGCCATGCTCATACGAACAGGCCCTAAAGCCAGTTTTCCACTTTCCGAAACGTATCAAAAACATTTTTAAATTTCAAAATTTAGTGAATCTTGATTGGTTAATACTTCCATAGTACGCCAAAAAGTTGACTTGCGACGAACTCTTCATTTTGATACGCGAATACACCCGGAAGTACGTGTACTGTACTGTACTGTACTGTACTGTACTGTACTGTACTGTACTGTACTGTACTGTACTGTACTGTACTGTACTGTACTGTACTGTACTGTACTGTACTGTACTGTACTGGCTTAAAGACAGACGAAGCTTCTTCACCTGCGTATGATCTGTCTTTGCGAAATAAATAACAAATCCAGTCCTATTAATTGCAATGTAATTCATTAATTGCAACCTACAACGAACCTATTGTTTCCTAATACATTTTGTTTCGAAACAGTTGTTCCTCCTAAGTTGGTCACATTGCCTTATGTGTGTGGTTCAAAGAAAAATGAGGATGTGACGTCATCTGAAAATGACCTTCCTAATAATGACGATACGGAACAGGCTGCTGATGGTTCCACAGATCAGACGCAAAAGGTTAATGCAGGAAATGCGCCAATACATGTTACTTTAAGGTATTGGACATCTCGCTTCCATGATACAACTGATTGTTGAACCGTTTTTGTAGATGCAAATTTCGAGCGAACATCATATACATTTTGGACCTGACCCGGAGCAACTGCGAAAAATGCAACCACAGGCCTTGCGGCAAAAAAAACCCGCGCCCCTGTGCTTCTAGTGCAGTACTTTTACTACTGAACTGTCATGGTGGGGGGGGGGGGGGCTGATAATGGGAGGAGGGGCATACAATTTCCAGTTTTTTTTATTTGGAAAGACAATATCGTACTACCCAGTTACTACCAGTTAAGGCTATTATGCACACTGGTTTAAATTCTTAAAACGGTTCAAACTATTCTTAAAACGATCGTTTCGAAAATTTAGATGTTTTCACGAGTTTTTGTGTTGTTTAGATTACCCGCGGATGTATCATATTTTGAACAGCCTCAAGTAGCTAGATGGGAACCTAGCAAGAATCACTGGAGACTAGATGGCCTCAGTGATATTCAGTTTAATGACCGTAAGTCCTATAGCCTAGTTGTTCGTCATGGTCTTGTACAGTACGTGTTCTTCAATCTTCGAATGGAGCTTATCCCATTCCAGCCCAGCCATTAACTCCAGGCTTACATACTGTAAAAGCCTCCAATTGAAATGCAGCAACTGCAGGTTTTGATAGTTAGCTGAACACTATTTTGGAGTTGTTAGCCATTAACTCCAGATTTTGAAACGTAAACTTTTGTAGTCGGCTGCACCTCTTGAATTCTGAATTGAACTAAGTTTTGATGTTTGGAATTTGGAGTTAACCCATTATACTATGGGGGTATCCTAGCTTTATGGCTCCCTAACTTCTGCAGCCATGACTCGCAAAGTGTGGCGATGTTTGAACATTCATGATAATTGTACTGTTTCGGTGTATCATACAGTATGCGAATAAGTAAGCATTCGTGCCTGCAACCACCACCCCCCACTGCCCAAAATGTACGACACCTGCAGTTGTGAGTGTGGCAGAAAGGTGCATGCATCCCTAACGTTCCTGATCTCTTTTAGCACACAAACGTAAACTATTCCTTATTTTTCTTCCAGAAACCAACATGTTGCGTTTCAAAACTGATCGATTTGCGCCTATTGCAATATTTCAGGTAAGCTTGTTGCAAAATGAACTGTCGTCAAAGTCAACTGTCGTTTGTCATAAAATCCAAATGGTATAGTGGGCGCAGAAGTAGAGAAGAAACCGCTGATTTGTTTAACCTTGTTGTCCAACGGGAATTGTGATCACTGTTCATACCCTTGCAGACAGGTTTTTGATATTGGGACCCCTAATTTAGAAAACTCCAAAACATAAGGGTACATAGCCCGCGTGCAGGCCCAAGGAAAGAATAAAGGGTACATATAGCATAAAGTATCCTTCTTATAAAGTTTAGCGATGTATCTTTTTTATGTATTTTACTCGTCGAGTTCGCCAGCCCTAAAACTTAGTATTCACATAATGGTTTAAATATTTGTATCAGTGCAAGTCAATGCAGATAATTTAAATTCAACCTCCATTAAGACCTGTTTACACTTGCAATTTTTGCTGCGATTTTAGGTGCGATTTTCTTCTTCTAATTGGTCTGAACGAGTGGATACGTCATGAATGTTCAGATTGCTGTACATGTACTCTGAACATTCGTAACTCCTCTACTCGTTCACATCCATCAGAAGGAGAAAATCGCACTAGAAATCACAACAAAAATTGCAAGTGTAAACAGACCTTTAGACACTGAGCTATATGATTACTCGAAGCCAAATCTGACCCCTATCTGAAGCCAAATCTGACCTCTGACACACGGATCAAGATTCTTGAATTACGATAGTTTTACGCAATTTACACTAGTTTTACGCAAGAGAATTGGAATTTGGAATATAAACGCAGCATGCATCAATTTGTATCACTTTGATATAGGACTTGTACCTGAACATGCCATTTCAATCTTGGGAAATCCGTCCACATGGTCTCAACAGTTGTATCTTTACTATCGTGGCGGCTGCTATTGATCTTGAAATTGAAGTCAAGGTTGGTGTCAAATAAATATAACCTTTGAGTCTCATTGGAGCATGCGTGGTCGAGTAAATCCATTTACGGAGTCAATTCCGAGCCCGAGTCAAACGCCCGAGTCACGTGACGAAATTGAACTGAATGACGAATATGGTTAGGAGTAGGGTTAGTGTTAGGGTACTAAGTCATTGAACTACAAAGACCGCTAAACAGTGACTCAGGCATTTTACTCGGTCTCGGATTTAACTCGGACTCGGATATGACTTGGTTAACCGACAAACTCATGGTCCCTGTGATGTTCGCAAATTGTGTATATATATTTGTATTACGCGTGGTAAAAATAAGCACTTTCGGCCCAAAAATGGTTATTTTTCCCGCGCGTAATGCAAATATATACAAAATTTGCGAACTTCACGGGGCTATATTTTCCTCATTCTACAACAATTCGCAACCAAACTTTGCAATTTTACTCATTTTAAGGTGCTCTTTCCAGCTATGGTAATGGATTTCGTTTTTCCTGTCTAGATCAAAATTTCGTCTATTGCGGGAATCACTCCATTATCAATGTATTTTAAAAGTGACGCCTTATTTACAGCTGCAATATATTAAGCACAACTTACTGAACTTCAGACATCATTTTCTCTATGGCGTATCATCTAAAATTTCTTCATTTTAGCATTATCTTATAGATAAAGCACTAAGCATACTTTTTAAGTTTGTTTGCCGATTGAGAAACGTATCGAAAACTAATGTAGTCATATAACCGCAAATGGTATAATTATTATACTCATTATAGTTTTGAGCGCGTGCTGCGTAACATACAATATTAAAAATCTCCTTTTAATGTTCATATTTTTTCTTAATAAATATTGCTTCTGTGCAGGATTCATATTGCTGTGTAGCTCATGCTGAGGACTCAGTACAACGTTTACGACATCTACGTGGTAAATGGATGTATCCCAAAGATCTTATTAAGGTATGATGTGAGGGTCTACTCCTGTTCCTAAAATCACCTTACAGTAAGGTGACTTCGTACAGTTCTCTAAAATTTAAAGTATTTTAAGAGTGCTTTGAAGACAGTAATAAAATATGACTTCAGTCCGCGACACTGTTGTTGAAAATTTCGAGCATTATAAACGACAATATACTGAACGTAAATATGTAAAAAAAAACACACTAAAAGATAGGTTAAAAGCTTGTTAACAACATACGGTGCTGTTTGAATTTTGAGAAATTTAGAAGAACTGGATAAAAAACTCAAAAACAACTTCCCGCGGCTTGTTTCAAGATTTCTAGCGGCCTAAAAGATTCAACGCGCGAGTCGCAAGGATGAAAGCAGATCTATATAAATATGTTTTAAAACTGTTACACTATAACAGCAATGAAAATCCCATCATCACGACGAAAGTATTTTGTACATTTACTTTCGTGTCATATTCAACAACGAAGTAGCATCTCAGCTCTATGCTATATACCACATCGAATGTAGATGGCAGCTTGTAAGAGGAATTGATATTCTATATACATTCTTTCCAGAGATTGAAGGCTTCCGGCGTGAATGTATTTCCATCAGTTGACGCAGAGAAATATGTCAGCTTAAATATGAAGGTACGATTTAGCATATATCGACGTTTCCATTCACCAGTAGCAGTTGGGATGACTATTTTATGTCTAAGAACTTTCGTGTCCAAGAATAAATCGTCAAATTTTGGACAAATTTGTATAGATACAGGGAATGTTGCAAGGGAAAGGTTGGCGTCAGGTTTTAATTTCCTATTGGAAACACACTTTTGTTTTACAAATTTGCAAGTTTTATTTTTTGTGTAGGATTCAACGCTTGAGAAGAATATTTATGACCAAATGTCTCTGACTGCCTCAGCTTTTGCATATTCCTGGAGTCGATGGAACTCAGATTGTGGGAAAGAGAAGATCGTTATTCAAGCCACAGAACAAGAGACCGATGAACCACCAATGGAGGTAAAGACTCTTTTTCACTTTGGGGCTAGTTGTACCAAGGCCAGATAGGGCTGTCTGCGGGATAACAAGTTTTCAAGATTTTTAAAATTGGTCGTCGATTGGTGTAACCAGATTAAGTTTCATTTTATTAATAGCTATAGACTAAATTTTGATCTAGGCAAGAAGAACAAAATCCATCACCACAGCTAGGAAGAGCATGGTGAAATTGCAAAGTTTGGCCGCGAAATGTTGTAAAATGAGGAAAATATTGCCCTACGAAATTTGCAAATTTTGTATAATTTGTATTACGCACGGGAAAATGCACATGCACTTTCGGTCCAAATGTGGTGCATTTTCCCGCGTGTAATACAAATTAATACAAAATTTGCAAATTTCACACGGCTATATTTTTCGCATTTTACAACATTTCGCGGCCAAACTTTGCAATTTTACTAATTTTAACATGTTGTTTCTAGCTGTGGTGATGGATTTTGTTCTTCTTGCCGAAATCAAAATTTAGTCTTTAGCTGGAATCATCTATTGCGAGATCCATATCCGTGCTTTCACAGTTTTTCAGACATTTTTTGAAAGATTGAAAAATCTCTATCTGGCCTTCGTAACCAGTCCCTGATGTCGATCCAGGTATTCCGACCTATGGTACGTTACTTTGGTTCAATAGAGAGTTTCACAATTTGAAACGGTCATGGCATGAAACAAAGTAATAATATATGTATTTTAAGTATTTGAGCCAAGGCATTCATTATACTGCTGGCTGAAGTTGGTTCTTCGCAGTAATCCACATCACTCAGTTTAACAGTGGCGTTGCATGTTCTCGCTGTGGACTCATGTGAAAAGAGTCAGTCAAAACTCTGTCGAAAGTCGTGGATTTTCTCCGGGTGCTCCGGTTTCCTCCCACAGGGCAAGTTGGTAGGGTGGGTTAGGATAAACACAGTTAGGAAAGTAATATCTCAATAGACCTTTCCCCTAAAAACCAAAATTTTGATCTAGGCAAGTCTAGACAAACATTTCATCACAGCTTGAAAGAGCATCACAAAATTAGTAATATTTCAAAGTTTCGTTGCGAAATGTTGTAAAATGAGGAAAATATACCCTTGCGAAGTTTGCAATTTTCAGTCATTTTGCATTACAAACGGGAAATTGCAGCCCCAACACCCGAATCGGATGTCAATTTCCCGTTTGTAATACAAAATGACTGAAAAACGGCAAACTTCGCAAGGCTATATTATCCGCATTTTACAAGATTTTGCAACAAAACTTTGGAATATTACTAATTTTGTGATGCTCTTTCAAGCTGTGATGAAATTTTTGTCTAGATCGAGATTTTAGTTATAAGGGGAAAGGTCCATTGTTGTAAGGATAAATAGTCTACACGCGTAAAAATTGAGAAAATCAACAACTTGTTCCAGCCTCCAGGTTGATATCAACAGGCGTGAACAAGGTTGTGCGGCCCACATGTCAACATGTTTTTACAGCATTGTTCAACTGTAACAACTTGGAACAACATGGTTGACAACTTGTTCATAGTTGGCCGCACAACATTGTTCACACCTGTCCTGTCAATATCAACTTGGAACAACATGTGCGTTTTTAGCCGTGTAGGCCAAGTAAGTAACATAAATAATCGTAATACTCATGTAATCGGTCACCGAAAAACCCCAATGGGGAGTGAGCTGAATAATAATGTGTGTATGTGATCGTGGAAATTATGTAAATATAGTTGTTTGAAAAGAACATCGTACTGGAATACTCGCGGCAGTACGATAGTATGATCGTCCTCAACTCGTCTTTACTGACGTTCCCGTAGTACTTGTATCCCCATGATTTCGAGGAAAATTGTTCACGTCGAAAAATGTTTTGTGGTTATTTTATATGTTATTTTTACAATGCTGTAATGCAGTTATGAAAACAGGGATAAAATTAACTCTTTAAGTGCCATTGCTTCATAATGCGCCCTACTTCTAAATTTTACTCTGTCTAACGCCAGACGATTTTACTCGTGTTAAAATATAGGCTCCTTAAATATGTTTACTGCATGGATCTGATTTTCGCATTTTTTAGGATGATTGGTTTATCTACATGGCAAGTAACGAGAATTCTTGTAAACTAAAGTTAAGTGAATTTGATGAAACTTTCTCAGACGATGTTGCTGAAAATACAAAGGTATAAATGAACATATTTCTCGTGGCTCCTTTGAAACAGAAAGCAAATGACACAAAATTATTTTCAATTACCATTTGCGTACGGAACCTATACAATTTGATGGGGAAGATGAGTTTGCTACTAAATAGAGGGTTGGGGCTAAATACAGGATGGGGGTAAATAGAGGATGGGGCTAAATAGAGGGTGGGGGTCTAAATATAGGAAGGACTAAATAGAGGTGGGGGCTGAATAGAGGGTGGGTGCAAAATTGAGGATGTGGCTAAATAGAGGGTGGGACTAAATAGAGGTTGGGGCTAAATAGAGGGTGGGGCTAATTGAGGAGTGGGGCTAAATAGAGGGTAGGGCCTAAATATAGGGTGCGGGCTAAATTGAGAATGAGGGTGGGCGCTAAATATACGGTATCTGAAAAGCAAAACATGGAAATTGAAACCTGCAATGGAAGTTGATTCTTCTCGTTCAAGATAGGAAAGAGTTTCATGCCGTATGAATGACATATGTTTCTTTATTTATTCTTAGCTTCATGCTGATTTATATCACATGGTCATGGATGGCGCTTCAGATTCTGCCGTCACAAAAGTCAAAGAAACGTCATTTCAGTTTTTCAACTGCGTATCACAGCTTCTCAATGCTACAAAAGTTCTAACATATTCCTGACATTTTCATAGTTGGTATACTCTTGTTAAAAGTTGTTATTTTGTAAATATTGTGAAGGCTTTGCCGGGATTTAAACTGGATTAAATAGTAATCCAGTACAGGAGCTATCTCCTGCATGTGGACATGGGGGTTGCCACCAACCTATATCAACGGGTTTTGATCATATTTGTATTGATCATAAGAATAAAATACAATGAACTACATCTTTCTAAAGAATGGTCATAAACACAGATCATTATTGTTTTATGCCGAGAAGTTAATAGCACTACCACTCTTTCTTGGTTGTAGAAATATCATTTTGAACAGAAACACCGTGTCCGCCCAACCTTAGTTTTACAGTATGTTTGACCTAATTACCTGAGGTTTGGGTGACGTTACAACAGCGATAAACTGTTTTTAATATAAGTAATAGACACTTACCGAATTCTGACAATGAAAACTGCATATTTACGATGAATCATACAATCAGCCTCCATTACGGTGCCCAAACGACGTTAGCCCTCGCTTTATATTCGGTACACGAGTTTGTTAGTCCGCTGGTTTGTTAGTCTGTTCATTTGTTAGTTTATTCGGAATCCTAAATCTTGGCATTTATTCAAAAGCAGTATATCTTCGCGTTTGTGATGCACTTGTTTTGTGCATGCTCCAAGGTACGTCACTGTAGCACTACGTCTGGTTTAGCTATTATTTCGTGCATTCAAGCATATTACCTGCAATTCATGGCTACAAATGTAAAACGTACAAATGTAAAACTTTAACTCGTTTGCATTATGCATAATTGCATATTTATATACTGTAATTATCCAACATTATTACTAATGTTACAATAAATTTAATCCTCTTTGTAAAATATATAACCAATTCAAGCAATAATTACATTACTATTTTATAATGATAATTATTAAAATAAATATGTCTTAACATTAATTTGTGGAAATTAAACCGTTCCGAATAATTTAAACCTGGGCCAACATAGTTTGAAGGGATTTCCTGACATTTGACAATTCTTGCTGTTGCTAGAAACAAAAAATAATATGTAAATTGTTAACTTTCATGATATAAGAACGGTTTTCAGAGAAGTGGAGTTTTGAGAACTACTAACGTTAAACTTGAAGTGTTTAAGCACACTCGAGCATTTTGAATGAACTCAAGGCTTTTTATGCCTTGCAGTTTCCAAATTCAAGCACTTTCGTGCAGTACGAACCCGATGTTGAAACTACTACTAGTACTTTCGGAAAGTTTAATACTCTGTGACTTTCACATAGGCGCTGCTGCACCTGTTTCTCCATTCAATCGTACCGACAAAAAGTAATAAAATTTCCTTACAGTTTCTTTGATTATTTTCTTTTGTAACTGAGTCATTTCCTTCTTCAACTCTCCTTGCACGTTATTCTGTTGTTCAAAATGACAATTTTCCAATTCATCGAAACTCTTATGGAGTTGTTCAGTTATGTGAAGCACAGTTTTAATACGCTGACTTTGAACAACTCGCTGTTGTTGCATGGTTTTGAACATCTGCTGGAACAATGTCTAGAAATCGAGTTAAACATTTGTCATGTATATATCCCACACAATGCATTGGTCGAGAGCAATGATCTCATACAGGACAGGCCCACTGGATGACACCTTTTCAGTGACGTAAAATATTTACGCCACGTTTACACTATTTTTGCCTTTTTCATGCGTACGTACAGTATACTGTACGCACGTAAAACTTTAAATCCGTTTAAATGTTACTTATCAAATAACCAAATAAATAAAGCAACATAATTTAGTGTTCCGCAAGTTTTAGTATGCATTTGTTAACTTATTTGTAAAATATTTAAAAAATAGAACGAGTCAAAGTTTTACGTGCGTTTACGTGCGTACAAAAAACGCAACGGTGGAAATCAGCCTTTAAGCCCATTTTCCACCAGGCGAATTTGTTCGCGCGAACAGTAAAAAAGTAGGAACTGATTCAACTTTTTCGGGGCGATTTTTTTTGCTACCAATCACATTGCCAAGATTTGTTTTTCGCTTCGCGCGAACAAATTCGGCTAGTGGAAAATGGGCTTAACGCTATGGCAAATTTAGCGTAACGTACTGAGACAGATTTGCATCCGGAGTGCCAAACCTAAAGTGGTCCGTAGTTGGTATGCAACGGCAAAACCACTCGGACCGTTATAATGTAAACACATTAGTCAATACTAAGGCCCCTTTTACATGAGACCGGGACGAAGTCAAACTGGAATGAAAATTGTCAACATGTTTACATGAGACCGGTACGAAAATCACAGAATTTTCAATTTATTCCCCTTGTCAAGCAATTTTCTTTTTTAGATGACTTTTGTTAGCATGTGTTGTTCCAATGTCAAGGTTACAGCCGAGACCGGTCTGAAATGTATTTGTGTAATTTACATTCATCCCGGTCTGAATTCATGCCGGTCTGAAGTCAGTCGGCTCGGTCCAGACACGGGTCCAGCAGGCGGAATGACTTGAGACTGGTCCGAGTTATTTTCGTTCCGGTCTAATGTAGACATCTATTATAAATAATACTGTGACCGAAACGAAATGGTCCCGGTTTGACTTCGTTCCGATCTCATGTAATAAATGGGGTCTAAGAAACGTGGCGATGAATGCTAGCCGTAGCGTTTTTGTTTAAACGCCCAAACGCAGCCTTAATACCCAGCGGATCATGGGCCATTTTCTTGTTCCTACAACGTATGATATCATGCTTTGTAACTGAGCTGTAATTATCAACCGTTATCAGCAATAAGTTATTGGGTTGTCAATGAAGAGAAAACCACAAGCATTGGACAAAAGTTTTAGTTCTAAATGTAACTGGCGTATTATGGATCGGAGGTGGTGGTAGTGGTTAGAGGTTAGGGTGGGGGTTAGAGTGGGGGTTAGGGTTATGGTTACAACCCAAAAACTTATTGCTGATAACGGTTGATAATTACAATACTATATTGCTGATAACGCAAGGAACGGCTGACTGAGCAGACAACAGCAAAATGTTATCTATCTGTTGAATACATTTATATCGGTGTGTGATTAGATCCTTCATGCCGGCCTGCATATTATTAGAAGTTTCAATTGTCTTATTTAAACATACAATTTTACGTTCGGGCTTATGTATGTAAGTTATGTCGTATTCTGCACTGCATTTTTTTGTTTCAAGGCCTGTCACCCTGTGTATATGATCCCGGCTAGGCGTAACCGAAAGTTTTCGTCCCACCTAACCGTAAATATTCACCAGAAGGAGACCATCTCAGTGCTTATCGTCATACTTTTTCCAAAAACGCGTTTATGCGTATAGTATTTCTGATGGCAAGTTCACCACGTCTAGCTGGGATAGAGTGTTGATATGGGTATTTTTCGTCTCGTCTAGGCGGGATCCCGGCAACAGATCCCGTCATCCAGCTCTGGCGGGATTTTATAAACACTCAACAGAGTTCGCATTTCGAGCGGGATCTTGGCAACTGTCTCGTCCTGCCTAGCCCGAATCATACCAGCCCCTAAATCCAAACTCTGACTCTAGGGTGTAGCAAATGACGTTATCCACTACTACGACCACACGCCTCTGCTGTATTTACTAGCTGCTGTACTATAAATCGTACAAATTTGATTATGCCACCGAACGGATACGAACTCGTTTGATCCAGGTACAAGAGCAGGTTGCTGAGCAGGAAAGCCGAAAATAATTCAACAGAACAAATAAAGTTGTTCATAAAAGGCTGGCTAGGAATGATATTTTATTACTTCCGAAACTTACGCCCGTATTCTAAAAGCACACTCACACTCAATGAGCGCGGAGGTTCAATCTGAGCTTCTCTCGAGTGTCATTGACTGCGGTTTTTGAATATCTGGGGGGTTAGTGTCGTACCTTAATATGTATTCAAAAACAGCATTGACACTCAAGAGAAGCTCAGATTGATCCTCCACTCATTGAGTGTGAGTGTGAGTGAGCTTTTATAATACGGGCGCTAATGTACACACGACGACCTACAGTATATATTCGCCATGTATCCACATAATTACAACTTACATTGCAAAACAATATCACAGTATTTCCAATGGTGTATCAAGTACTTTGAAAGTGAAAAGTGATTGTATAAGAATATCTTAGTGAAGGAACAGGTATTTACCTGGTATTCTTCTTCACTTTCTCTCAATTTTCCAACATCAATATCCCATTGGTTCATGGCACTTTTAATAGACTTTGAATATTCCTCAATAAGCTTTGACCTAGAAAAATATTGCAGTCATAAATGTAAAAATGTTGTAGTACTAAGTGACATTAAATATTATGAACGAGCTCAAAGGAAATTATTCATTACCTCCGCCAGGAGGTTACATTTTCATCCGCGTTTACATTATTGTGTGCATTTCTTAACCATGAATAATTAATAAGGCTACGAACAAATCACAACGTGGTATTTAGGTCACATGTGCATACTTGTATAACTGGCAATAAAGATCAGAAAGTCAGGTTAGAGGGATATGTTTATGAAAAGTTTATATCAATACTAATTCAGAAGCAGGGATGTGTATGAAAGTTATCAATACTAATTCAGATTTGAAATGCCTGCTAATGAAGCGTTGATTGTCCACATGGGCAGTGAATACCAATAAAGTAAACAAATAATTTTTAAAATATTCGCGCTGCGCGCTTGCCAGTTGCCATTGTAAATGCCCATAAAGATCAGCTGCTCATATTTTAACTAGTACTTCTCATATCAGCATGATAACACTCGGAGAGTGCACACCTCCACCTCGCTGGCGGATGTATCCAGTTTACGAGTGCCCTCTATAGTTTTACTATTAAATACATTTCAGCTTCGTGTTCGTAGCTACTCCTGGTTTGGTCTAAAATGTCAATTTTTCTTCATTGCTCCCATCATGCAACGCACACCTCCGTCCACTGATCTATATAAATCGTAATTGACGACTGTGTACGAGTCAGATGCGTGCAGGGCAGATGGAAAGTAAGGTACCATATTGCTGATTATGCTGAAGATATAAAAATGATGGCCGTGTAAACACAGAGTCATAGCTTATACTTGTAAATATGGAAATATTTCGGTTGTTTCAATAAAAACTTATTGAAATTTTTCAGCATAATCAGCAATATGATACCTTACTTCCCGTCGCCCCCTGCGCGTCTAAATTAAAAGCTGGAATTGCCTATTAAAATCAAAACGGTGTCTATTTGGATAGTAAATTTTGGAAATTGCTTAAAATGCAAACCTATCAGATTTTTGTTTCTTCCAAATTTCACCAACTTTCTTATCGGTTGTCTTGAGTGCGCCTGCTGTGAACTGATGAACATTCTTCTTTTTTGTGGCAATCGTTTTACGAATATCAGCTAAACAAAAGACAGCGAAAATGATTTGTCACAACAAACTCCGCTGAAACGACAAATCTATCAGGACCTGTAGGATAGGTTAGCTACAATACGATAGTGCGATTTGTGACCTAAACGTCATCTCACGAAATCATCCATCGACTGCATACATGACAATACTCATCTTCAACACAAATGGGTAAAAACGTAGCCTAATTTAGGATGTATATGTTATAAAGTTTAATGAAAATAACCCAAACCCTTTGTAATGCAGAATATATCAGAAAGATAGTCGATATAACCAAGTAGCGTTTACAGCACTCAGCGATAAAAACTGATAAAACCTGATTGTATTCATTAGACAAAAATGCAAAAAAGAGAGGTTGGAATATATTGGCGGCCTACGTTTGCACATCCAATATTTTTGTAAAGACCGTCCCAAAGTTCAAAACACTTACCACCAAAGCTAGCCAATAAGTTCTGCATTTCTATGTCGCCACTACAAACAAACATACAAGGATTTGCAATCGTTTTCAACGGAAGAAACTACATGTTAATTGTTGATATTTTCCAACGTTTCTGTGTTGTTAATGTTAGTTTTTCTATTATATGTGCATATATGCGACTGTGAGCAAACTATATTGGGAGTAGTACTCCCAATATAGTTTAGTAGTGTACGCTGAGGTACAGTTCAACATCATACAAATTTATTTCTGGATTCTATTTCAAAGATAGTCTCCAAGGTTCGGGCGACAAGGTTCCGACAGCTGGATTTGTTTGACTCAAAAGCGGAAGAGTGAAGTGAATTATATTTGCACTGTTTGTATATGTTGTTATTTTTCAATACTGAATTTATGCTAAAACAATTAGTCACCTCAGGCTCGGTGATCACATGCAAGACTATATTCACTTCGTAGCCCAGGGAACTGATATAGGTTTGTAATCACCTCGCCTTCAGTGGCTAATTGTTAAATAACAGTTAGAAATAACATCTAATCAATGAAATTAGTTACCATCCTTTAGCCTCATCATCTTGGTCTTCCTCCATTGAATCATAAAAATCCACTGTACTTGGTGTCTCAAACGATCTCTTCTTTCCTCTCTTACTTCCACGACCATTCTCTAAAATGATGCACACCCCACTTAAATTGATAGTGATCCCCCTTATTACGTTTTCGTAACGCTTTACATTGTAGTTATAGTGGTATCAGTGATATTCAAGATGGCTTATTTTCTGTCCTGACCCGTGCAAGAACTTTTAAAAAAAGCTAGGCTCAGGTGCGCGATAGCCAACAGCAAAATATTCGCGAAAACATTCAATATTTTCATTCGAGGCCGCTATCTTTATCAGTGATACCACTATAACCACAATGCAAAGGATAATCCACAATACATCTTGGATTTCTAAATATGTTTGTTTTGAGCATTGTTGTGTCTTACCTATTTTTTAACCTGATCCGCTCACCTTTATCCATGTTTCTTGGATAAAAATAATATTAAACAAGGTTTCAAGGGCTTAATTAATAATAGTCCCATGCGTATATTCCGTTATTTAGCGGTGAGGGTGCACCGGAACTCGGTTCCCGCCGGTTAGTTCCGCCCGGAGCCCCGATTTTTTAGAGTTCCGGTTCCGGCCGGAACTAATAAAAAAAGCATGGCCGGAACAGGAACTCTGTCGTTTTAAGAGAGATAGAATATCAAATGTTTTTGTATCTAACAAAAGGTCACAGAAGGAAGAAATTTGGACTACGCAAGGGAAATGTACAATATTAACACTTCATTATGACGTTTAACGCTTGTCAATCTTTTTATTCTAACATTTGCGAGCTCTCTCCTTGATGACTTGAATAACTTTTTTGCAGTTCCGGTCGAATCCGGTTCCGGCCGGAACTTAAAAGCTGGTTCCGGTGCACCCCTATTTAGCGGTTCCCCTGCCATGGGTTCCAGGAAATCCTGGGGTTTTGGATTTTATAAATATGTAAAAATTGAATTGATCTAGCCACGTTTATGATGCACGACAGCCTGTTGAATTTCCATAGCGTTTTTTTTAGACACCCTGTAGACCGCCCCCTCCCAACAGCCGCCTACTTTATCGAAACAGACACCTACTCAGAATATTTCTGAAATCCCTGCGATGTTGTAAAATTTGGTTAAAATTTCATTTCTGAAGAGGAGTCAAATCTAGATTCGGTATACTGTAATACAGGTGCATGATAGTGATGCATATTTGTTTTGTAATAACTATAGTTAACTTTATTCTCTAATAGTCCGCATATTTCCAAAACTTACCTGTAACATTCACTGCAACTTCTCGTTTACTGATATCAGAATCTGCTTCAAAATCAAAGACGTCTTTGGATTTGCTTGATGAGGCCTTGCCTTTCTTTTCACCATACGCTGGCATTTTAGACTTGGTGCTACCAGAAAATGAAAGAAGTTACCATCAGCAGTGCCGATCGTGGATTATGCAGCACAAAGAGAAGGAGTGATTTGGAACATTTATCATATGACGTCCCCTTTCCTCTCAATCACAATCCAGAACATTTAAAACATAACAAGATATAACATTTACAATACAAGAATTGAAAATATAATGCACACCAGATAATGGGACCCCACAAATCCCGCCCAGGTGTGGCCAGACTCAGGCTACGTTTAGGCGTCCACATGCAACAATTGACTAAACCAGGACGTACGTACTGATTTTGTTTTGCACTATCACCTAACAAAGCGATTCAAACAAGTGCAACACTAATGAGACTTCGCATAATTAAATAATTTCTCACTTTCTGTAGTTTTCCCTACCTCATATATGCACCTCTTTTAATACACCTAGCTCCTTAAACAATGCTGGAAAAACTATATTTGAGCTGACTGCCTGCCGTTGACTTTATATCTTGTTTAAACATTGTAGGTGGGAGAAGACACAAATTACTTTCTTGTCTGATTATTGTTGCACGCGATTATAGGGCTGAATCTTTTGGCATTTTTTACCTATGCACACGTAGGAACGCACAAATTGTAATAAAAAAGCAGGAGACTTGTAGCAATGCTGTTGCAACAACTTGTCAACAGGATGTGTTCGCACTACACTTCTTCCCAGCATGTTGACAAGTTCTCAACGGCTTGTTGACAACTTACTACAAGGTTGTTGAGCTCAACAGATTTGTTACAATTGTTCCAACAACTTGTTATCGTTCTGCAATTCAACAATTTGTCAACACGTTAATGTGAGTGACAGCGTTGTAGCAACTTGATAAAATAACAGCATTGTGAGATTTTTACGTGTGTAGCTAAATACATTACAATATGATTGAACTACAGTATTATTAAACTGTTTATTTTACAGTTGTCGCAAAATTATTTTGACAGCAGTTGACTGACCTCTCCCTTGTGAAGAGGTAAAATGGTATGTAGGATTTCTCCTATTTTCAATGGGGAAATGGGATTTGCATCGCTGGGGAAGGCACTTTCACCGGCAATAGGCTCTTTGTAATTCGCTAAAAATAGTTGAAAACGATAAGTGACAGCATTTTCCTGCATTTTCCTGCCCTCCAGATATTGTTATGCAAAATGTTTTTAGGCCAGTTGCAAACGGTCCATTTTGCTGGAGATTTTGCTGCTGGGAATAGGGGTAAAAAACCCCGCCCCACCCACTCAACCATCCCCCCCAGTCAAAGTCTCTTTTCTCTAAAATATAAGCAAAACATTGGAAGCAAAATGGAATTTAATAGAAGAAATATGGAATTTAGAAGAAGATTTGATATTCTAGTCACTATAATTTACTTTGTGGATCTTATGTCCGGTCTTTTATGTTCAAATGAGAGTCTTGTCTTTTTAGAAATGCTAAACATTGACATTGTGTTGTAAACAACCTTAGATTTTAAAAATATCCAAGTGGATAGCATATCCCTATAGATTTAAGTTGCTGGCCGGCTAGACTAAAAAAGTTGGTGACTAAGTTGTGGTATTTTAATACATAAACATACCATGCAAGTATAACTGAATATTCAGTCTTTCTACAGTATAATGTATATAAAAACGCTGTATATCCAAAAATCTGTTTCAGAAAACGCACGAAATTCAGTCTTAGGGGTGGAAAAATACAAAAGACCCCTCCTACTATTACATACGACACCACACCAAACATTTGTCACCAACAACCATCTGCCATCTCACCACACTCAGTAATACTAATTAAAGTATGATCTCTTTTTGTAGATGGCTCCCATGGCGGACGAATTCTTAAAAAAGGCCCTGCTGCAAACCCTCGCACGAAACATGAATTGGATGCAGCAGGCTTAAGTGGGATTATTAGCTAAAAATATCGAAAATGTCAAAAGCCACAGCAATGGGTATAGTATGCCTGCATTTCATCAAGACATATATGAAGAGCATACGAATAATGTTGCCTTGATTCTTCGGATATGAAAATTAACCACACTGTTTAAAAATTAAAGCTATCAAGTAAGTATTTTGAGTGTAAAAAGCGTTAAAAAACATTCACGATGTTGGTTGACTGATGCAACTACAGTATTTAAAAATATTGAAAGTACTTCGACGTCGCGACCACAGGCTTTCATCTTTCAGACGAAGGGCTTTCGCTCGAATATTTATAATTGTTGAAGTATTTTCTACATTTGCATCTTGCATCCCTCAACCAACTTCGAAGTAAATATTTCGTTTCCCTTTCCAACTTATGCTGCCGCAAAAACACTTCATAATTTATATGTAACTAAAGAAAGTAGAAGCACTGCATCTTATCATAGTCGGTCTAAAATTGCAGCGTATAAATATGTCAGCCCCTTTGTCTTTCGCCAAGTTGTCGGGCTTTTAGTCGTCTTAGAAATAAAATTCCTACATTTATAGAACAGGACAATCATAGAATATGTTCATTTAAGTACACTCACCTTGTTTTCGTTAATTAAAAACGTCCGATAAGATACGAAAATATTCAATGTTTTTGCTGTGGAAAACAAAAAACTATCGAGTTTTGAAAACAAGAATCGAATCAATGTCATTTAAGCGGGAAAAAAACCTGCTCCCTGATTGGCTGGTGGGGGCAACACAGCCAGCCCAAGAAAGACGTTTTAAAGATTAATATGGTGTTTCCACTATGTAAAGTTTACAAAATTTACAAATATATTTCTTGAAAAATTTCCTCTGAACCAGTGGTCAGAACTGAATTCCTTCTGAACTCCACATTATGTCGATAATACTGTATCCAGCATATGAAGCACAGTTTTCAGTAAAAACGACTTCCTTATCTAAGCCCTAAGGCATATCAGATACCCGGCAATCATCACGTTCTATGCCTTGCAATCCTTGAAATAATCTATAGACCAGCACCAGTGAAATAAATACATTCAGATAAACTGCCTATCGCGTGCCTGGGGATGGGGTCAAGACCCGCGTACGTGTTTATGCCTCGCGATTCTCTCGCGAGACCGGCAGGGAGCGACAATGCCGTTTTAATAGAAAAAAAACTAAAAGTAAAGTCTACTAGGAAGTTTTACCTGAATAAAATCATTGATAAGAAAGTTTTCAGTGCTGTTAATTTTCAAGTCAGTTTTCAAGAGTACCTATTCATCGGATGGCCGTGCTCTTCGCATGCGTGAGAAAAGACTGGGACTGGCCTTGAAATTTTGCTTCAAATTTCCAGTTGGAGACAGCGTCCCATGCAGTTATATTCATTTCACTGACCAGCACTAAGGCCTACCTAGGGCTAGCTATCAATGAAGCAAATCAGGCATCAGCCGATAATCGCGCATTTTTATTGGTAGAGGCCCATAAAATCAGGTTCATCGGTTATCAGCCGGTAACATCAATGTATCGGCATATATATCCGGTGTTTCCGGCTTTTTTCTTGTGATATCTTCCTTCATAGGAAAAATGCCAACTTAATTGTTTATGAGACGCTAGTCCATAAAGTCATGATGCGATAGTACCATTCCTTTCACTATCAGTTCTGGTCTTGCCGTCTTGCCGTATATTCTGGATCGTTATCTCATCGATATCTACCGATATTTTGGCCGAAAAACTCCAATATAATACCGAATTGTTCATATCGGTAAATTGGATTTCGTTTATGTATCAGCTCATACCTAACGGCGTCTTAGCGAGGCCGTGTTGGTAGTGTTACCTTGGCCAAAATGGAAAAACACGGCTAGATAAAATGAACGCGGCTGTAGCTGCATGTTAATTCGTGTAGGTTCATAAAATGCAGTGTTAAGGCCCATGATTGGCCAACACAAATTTTCCGTCGGAAAAAAATTTTTAAGTTGAAAATTTTCAACTTTTAACAATGATATTTTCGGAAAATTTTCTGTCCGTGGAAATTTTTCTTGAGTGGAAATGGGCCTTTATACTTACAAAAGACAGAATTTTGAAGAAAGTTTTAAAGTCTAGTTTGTTGATATTGGTAAACGTGATATCCCCGATGTTTTTTATGTTTAGATGGATATAGGTAATGGGAACCGTATGGTGTTAAAATGGCTTTCAATGCCCCCAGTGCGAAATATAAGCGTATCCTCGCCTTGGATTTGGTTGTAAAGCGTAGCACAACCACATGCATACTCTATATATTGCTGGTGAGCATAACGGGAACCGTGAATTTGGCTGTTCTGGGTAATTGGCAGGTACATACCCTGGAAATTTAGAAACACCTCCAAAATCTAAAATCCTATAGCTACGACCCTGATGCCTAACTGACCAATTATTGGAAGACATGCGACTGATTTCATGATCAGCAAACTATTAGAAAGACGGAAAATTCGATTGCTCTGCCACATTTATTGTTCTTACATTAATTTTTTGTTTATTAACATAATATATATATTTAAATTTTTACAATTTAATGTTTCAACAGTATTAAAGCCCAAATGAGCATGAAGAATGCTTACACACAATTGCCAAGGCTCGCAAAATAACTATTGCTATAATTCGACGCCGATTTGTCTAATATACAACCAGCAATTGGTCATGGTCCAGTTTACGACCACTCATTTAATTTGTTAATGTGTTAAAGAAAATCAATGTGAAAAGATTAGACTGAGTATAACCACATACTGGTCCAACCTCGTTCCCAGGGTCTAACGAATAAGACACTATGACCGAGGTTTATAATGGTCCACCAACTTTACCAACAACAACACCACGAGGTTTATAATAGTCACTGCATTTTTAAAATTTTGCGAGTATACTGAACTATATACAATAATTATTCGGATCTTGAATCATGGGGGAATATTACGTCACGATAAGAAATCACGCGATTTTAGGTACCAAAATAATGGTGGGCTCCAGTGGCGAAGCTAACCATAACAAGAGGTCATGCTCATAGATATCTTATATACACTAGATAGCGCATCTCTTAGTAAAATTGAAGCCAAGAATATTCCAGCGGTTACACCGATTTGAATAGATGGCGGCCATGTTGGTCGTTCCCACTTGCTAATAAACGCTTAAAAACAACAATAACTTTCATCATTTTAATAGTTTAAAAACGTATTTGGAATAGAGTCAACTTAATGTTTAAGTTCCCTGTTTAAGAAATAGAAAACATACGAATCTTCTCATTTCATGAGAACGACCTGAGACTGCAATCACGGCTTCAATTTTTGAATTGTAGAATAATTAGATGCACTATCTAGTGTATATAAGATATCTATGATCATGCTATGCAAAGGTTGATTTGATTTGCATTACTCAAACCTTTAGAAATGTATTGTCTATTTAGATGCAGGTTTAATGGCATAGCATGGCCACTTGTCATGGCTAGCCTCACCACTGGTTGCCACTGTAGACCATACACGTCCAATACTGTGGAACATATCCATCCGTATGAATGGATATATTCGTACCTTGATCCGTCACATGCTATTCATTGGCATTGATCGGATCCGTCCGTCCATAGCCTATCGAAGGGAAGATGGCTGTGAAAATCATTAGAATAACAATATAAATATCTACTGTATGTTAGTCAACGTTTATTCATAAATCTGGTCTTTAACCATTACGTGCGTATTGTATTTTTGCCAAATCCACCAATAGCAATTTCCAATTTACCCTATTGTTCGAGTCACGGATAGGTAACTCTCCTAAAACATTGCTATTGGTTAGTTGGGCACGTGACGGTGAAGGACCAGATTGATGAATAAACGTCGACTAACATAGATAAGTTATATTGTTATTCTAATGAGTTTCACAGCCATCTTCCCTTCGATAGGCTATGGTCCATCCGACTCGAGTTGTTACATTCGTATACCCAAGCCAAATAAACTACGCAATGTCTGAAATTAACTAATATATACATCAATATACTGTATGTTGTGATGTGTTGTCACTACAAGGGTTGAATACTGTTGATGTTGAAACATTACATATAACAATTGTTCAATAACATTTTGTTCAATCGGAAATTGGTATCCACAATACTCTACGAATATTGGCTGTATAATAAATTATTCATTAAGAATGTAAATAAACTTTGATAGATTTGATTAAAATGCTTACAGCACGACTATTAACTTTCCTTAAAAGTCAGGGTATCTTGGTGTTTCTATCATTAAATTTTCCCACGCTGTACCGCTGACTAAACAATACCAACTTTTTTCAAGAATTCCATCAACAACTCCAAGTACTCCTCTTGATGTCTATAAAAATGCGACACATGAGGAGAGCTGTCCCATTTCTTAGATGTCACATCCATTCCAAGATCTCGCCATTTTGTCACGCATCGTTCACATCCTTCCGGTAACGCCACGCGGTCGTCGTTGGAAAACAGAATCAGTGCAGGAGCTCGAACTGGGTTACTGAGAAATAACTTGGACCTTGCAAGGAATTTGTCCATGGTATATTTTTGAGTGAGTTTAAAATAGGATTGAATGCTCAACCTCATTGTATTTCTTAATATGGCATTTTCTGTCGCCGCATTCGAAATTCCGTACGGTATATTATCGAAGTCTACAGGGCTATCGAATATTTGGCCAATGATACGATCTTGTACTGAGGAATATTTGGGGTCTGTCACAATGTGGTTGAGTGTCTGACCATACAGGTAGCCGCCGACTGAGAAACCATGAATGAGGATTGGTCTATCCTTGTTGCCAGGTGATTGTAAGATATCGAGTAGTCTAGCGGCAAGTTCTTCTGCTTTCTTTGGTCGAAGAACCTAGAATGAAGATATTTCACAAACATGAGTGATAAAGTACAATGAAAACAAATACTAAACTACAGTACATGTAATTCACATATGGTTTCAGATTTCACTCACTGGAAATAAATTACTACGCGGGTGCACTATGGAATATACCGCACAAGTGTCGAACATTCACAGGTCATGCAAACAGCTATTTCAATCAAGGTTGTTATTAAACAATTATTGAACGAGGTCGAGTAGGATATGAGGAATTATTAATAAGGCGGAGGTTTGTGTTATCTGACAGATACTGTAACACAACCGAGGCATTAATAATTCCTCATATCCTGCGAGAACCGAATTCAATAATTATTGTTTTATTATTTATTTGTCGGAATACACAAAAAAGGTCGGCGAACGAACCTTTCCTTTGAGGAAGCCATTTGTATTTTCCCACTTTTGGCATAAGCCGCATAAATTAGCGTGACGTCATAGCGTGTTACATTGTTTTTCAATATACCACGAAATTACGTCAAACGTAGTATATTTGTTTTCAATATTCCACGGTGATGTCATAGCTCCAAATTTGGGCAGCTACCGAGCGGATATATCACCGACAGATATTAGCCAATCAAAACTCTTGAAATATTTTCAATAAATAATAAAGTCAATTGTACAATCCAGGCGCGTACGGCGAGATGGATATGCCTAATTTTAATATTTTTTAGCCGTCTTTGTATGTAGGTCCATTACCAGTGGTACACATAATTTTCTGGGTTTGCTTTTGATTTACTGGCGACAACACGTACAGGAATTTACAAACTTAGGGTTGATGTTTGTGTGTAAAAAGTTGCCCTATTATTTCTGTCAGCGAAATAGTGCTCCATCTATGTCTGGGTTGTGAGGCTAAGAACCAACAGGCAGCTGGTTTAAAGATCGTTATTACACCCTACGTAAATATGCAAATAATACGATGAATGTTCACGACTTGGTAATCCAACGAGATGATACATTTCATCCTATAAGATATTTTATTCCATTACATTATATTTCAGTACTCGGACGTACGTACTGATATGCTTGGATTGTACATTTGACTATGGCTTGTGACAAGCTTAATTAAAATAGGTAGCTGTTTTTCTGTACTATAATCTCAGCAAAATATAAAAGATATACATGTAACTGCAGTATGAGTTGCTATCGCAAGAAGGTGACGCCTCGAATTCTTCGCGATGGGGAAACGACTGCGCACATATTGGGCCATTTCGTGTTGTTTAAAGCACTGATGACGTAATGAAAGGGCATTGCTTTCTCTTGAAATCAGCCCTTGCACGCTCATGACCTTGATGAAACTTACAAACTTGATAAAATAGGCAAATACATTTTATTTGCATCACTTTTGCAATATTTAGTCCAGAGATCATGTAGTGTAGTTACATATCGCAAGCAAATGGAAACATACTGTAACACGCGGCGTACAACTTCAGTCTATTTTTTCCGATTATTACAGTATGTTTACATGCCACTTGAAATCTGTGAATTGGAATGGACATCCGTTTATTATGTTGGCTAACTGGAATTATCCCAATCAGCGCAAAATATCCAAACCGACACAAGCCGAGATCAATCATGTCGCACTCTACTCTCTAGCTCATTGAGTTTTCTAAACTTGTACAGTTGAATTTCTCCTTACCGACACCGCTTTAATACGGAACAGGGACCTTAAGCATGTAGGATGGCAACGCTGCGACGACGGCAAACGAATTCGTAATGGAGGATTGCGAAGAAAGCGTGTCGTCTATTATCCATGCATGGTATGAAATCACTACAGTTTAAGAATCGAGGTTTAAAGACAGGCTATATATGGCTGAGAATATGGTTCCAGAACCATTCTCAACCACATAATTCAAACGGGAAAGCCCAATACAGACGGGCAATTTTTCGTTGACAAATTTTCCTTGACAACTTTTGTTTGCTCGTGCGTACGGGAAAAATGACAATTTTTCCTTGCAGTCTTGTTCCAAGGTTAGTCATACCAGCCTTACCTTGACTCGAGGTAAATGTTTAAAAACATTCCGTGCACACGAACAACAAAACCCGAGTGTGAAGGTGAAAACTTGCCAAGGAAAACCTTACACACGAGAATGTAAAAATCGGCCAAGGAAAACTTGCTCGTCTGTGCGACTGTGCGGCGTTTAAGTTTCAGCTCAAAATGTCTTTATTTTCCGTCGTTCGTCGATAAAAGATTATGTCATTTTTATGATTACTTTATGATTACATCATATTCTACTAAAATTATTTAACGGTCTTTTAAGACTTTAATTGTACCGTAAGTGTACAAAATACCTCTCTCCTACCATGGATAATAAAATAAATGGATAGGAAACTAGCTGACGTGACCTAATGTTTTCAATGGGCTGATGGCGTGGTTGGATGTTGAAACCTAGTTGCAAACCAAATTCTCAAAAAAGGCATGTTTAGCGTCAATAATACAGCTAAATATTTTAGTCAAAGAGCAAATAAATATAACTATATGCCATTCTATGATGAAATCTCTAAGTATTCCCAGTCAATTTTAGCAAATATTTCAAGCACTATAAACAGTAAAAATGCATCGCAAATTTCGTTAAAATTGGCGTCGTAGCTACAAATGTAAAAAAATACAAAACAAAGACGAAAAACATTTACATTGAATACTTTGTCGTGGCTTAGGCATGTTTTTAAAACAATTAGACCAGTTTATGCTTCAATATTACTCTTTTAAAGCGGAAAATATAGCGAAACAACAAAAATGCCGAGAACTTTGGTATATTTGAAATACGCGTGACGTCAGAGATTGCAACTAGGTTTAGATTGTGACGTCAGGAAGTTTCCTATCCAGTTATTTTACAATCTATGCTCCTACGCATAGGTGTTTCTGAGGTAAAAAATCGAAGGAAGTCAAGGAAGCGTCTACCGACATTCAGGACAAAATGGCGGCGAACTGTGATCACGTTATCGTAATTATTTATGCACTGAATTTTATATCGCATTATTCGCATATCAACACGATATTACAAAATCGATCCGAGAAATCTTGAAATACTACATATATAAAATTAATGCGCTCACAAACACACTCCTCAGCGGAATGCACAGAAATCTCTGCGGGGGTGAGATAAAATACTCAGTATATTCTTGGGTTTCAATCACATGATATTTTAGCATAATTTGACTCGGGTCAATCATTGAACTGGGGTTAACTAAAACAACAAAGAAACAAAATGGCTGTCAACGCATCTTATGTAAATGAGTTCTCCGACTATTATAAAAACATTAAAAAAATATAAAAGCCATTGACACAGACGTCTGACCCCGAGGTGACGTCATATGAAACCCCGGAATTATCAAACTTTTCATCTAATCACGCTGTATTTCGGCTCTACCTCGGGAAACACCGGACACAAGGTACTCTGAAGGTACTGTAAGTCCAGGCATAAAGTGTTAAATAGTATTAGATAATTTATGTTAATTAGCAATCACCTCCCTGATGCTGGGTGAATAGGGACAATAACAACATATACAGGGGTGCCAAAGCCACAGGGGACAGCTGCCGTTTTGCACAAGAACTGCACTTCAAAACATGTTTGTTATTGAAACACGTTTGAAACATGAATTGAAATTGAGGCCTGCACGTGTTTCTAAGCAATTGAACTCAAATTTTGACTGTAGTACAAATGAATGCTAAATCATCAACTGACTATGAACATGTACACAGACTGGTTTGTCTTATTTTGTGTACGAACAAAACACACTCTCATTTCGGGCATCTCACTCGATAGCGAACCTAATTTCGTCACCCCCGAAGGTACAAAGTCCTACACTGAATATCAATAAATAAACGTACCTCAGTAACATTGGGTTTGACAGTGACAACATCAGCTCCGTGGTTGTTATAAAAATGACCAAATTTTTCGAGATGACGACTTTTCGCTAAAAGCCAGCCATAAACAACTGCTATTGGTTGGTTAGGATCACTGGAGAACTTGTCTTTTGCAGGCATGCGTTCGAGTAGTCCATATTGACAGGTGCTCGTGGATAATTGTCTTTCAAGGACACTGCTTTTACCCTTTCAAGAAAAATGTGAAGAAAACTCAATATTTATATTAGTAATTTATAAATGATAGATAATTACCAGCACACAATGGGTCATTCCACAAAAAGATCCACACTCCCGCAAAGGTGGAAATTTCTGCTGTCCAGGGGAGGGGGGAAGAAAAAATTGTTTCTAATAACAGTAAGTGTATTAGGACATCCAAAGGGGGTAGGGGGTTTAACATCTAATTTCCTCCATGGGGAAGGTATGGATGTTTTCCAGAATGACCCGATACAATAGTAATTCTGAAAACGGTAAACATTTTGAAAAGTGTTTATTCGACGTTTTGACTAGATTTTAGTCATCATCATATCATTCCTGATGATGATTGACTAAAATCTAGTCAAAACGTTGAATAAATTATTATCAAAATGTTTACTCAATATGTTGTCCCACAATACCTGACATTGTACACAGGCCTTAAAATATCTTTTACAGGGCCGTCTGACAAAATGTCCGATGACTTTGAGTCGGACAAGACCGATGACTTTCAGTTCAGTTTTCCTCAGAAATTAGTCTGAATGATACAAATTAATATCAGCACAATGTATTAATTCTGAATTACTGTAAATGTTGTGAAGATATTAAATAATTTGTGTCATAAAGATTCATACTTATTCCTAAGCCAAAATGAACTTGCTTGCCAATAACAGCAGTAAGACATCAACGTATAAGCTTGTTTTCCATTTCACTAATTCGCTCACTGCCTCGCGCTCAATTACATTAAAACAACATTTCCGGTTCACTTTTTATACATAACTCTGATTCAGTGATAAAAGTCTCTAGTCCTGGACTACGATACATTTTCGATACACAGTTCGGTCGTATATACCTACACACAATTTCTCGTTTTCCCAATTTCCACTTGTGTTGATATAACTTACTGTATATCAACATGGAAAATATTTTATATTTGTTAAATATCACGCAACCACTACACAGCTGGCAGATAACTGAAAACTTTATGTACCAGTATAGGTTGAGCCCACAGTATGCAATTTCATAGCATTTGACATTTTTATCCAAACTTTAGTAGCTATGAATGAGATTTCTAACATTTTTATGCTGTTGTTGTATCCACAGTAGTACTTTAAATTGTTTTCACTGCTTTTTTGAGAACCAAACATTGTTTAATTTGTGCGACAAATGCAGTTGTTTGTTGAAAATAATTGAACAGAACTTGGTTTATATTATATATGTATAATAATAGAATTTGGTTTTTGTGATATCCCAAACTATCAAGGTCTCGGTGTTATCAAAACTGCCTTTGGCTTGACTGATAACACTTGCCTTCAGTTGATAATTCTGGAAATCATAAAAACCTCATCCAATGGCGGTTTATTTTGCTGCACTAGATCAAAGTAAAACTAAAAAAAGGCGAGCTGGCAAAAATATCTGACTTAGCCCACAATGGCATGCAATGAGAGTGTGACACTTTTCCTAAGTGTGAAATTTCTGATCATGCATCCACCATTTTGGTTAATTAGAACACTTACATACTACATGCAAGTCTGAAACCTGGTACGTTGCACAGTATGTATCCTCAAAAGATTTACAAATAAATCCTTTTTTTTTGCAAAATGTGGCATCCACAAAATATACATAATGTGATGAGATTGAAAAAAACATGGTTTGTGATATGACATGTTGACATAGTCATAGATCATCACGATACACCCTTCAGGAAAGCAATGCATCACTTTGGCTATAGAGCCTTGTTTTCATGTATGTGACCTTATTTAGTTAAATCCTCTCAATCACAAAAACAAGGTTCTATAGGCTAAGTTGATGTACTTTCTGGAAAGGTATATTGATCAAAGAATGAGAATATGTATAAAAGAATGTATAAAAAATTCATGCTAATTCTGAATGCAGTGGTTTTGTTATTACTGTGATCATTTAAAATGTTTTAATAATATATTGAATTTTAAAATTTAATAATTGTGGTACACAGTTTAGGCCCACAATGTCCTCACCATACTAGAGATTTTGAAGCTGTGAAAATTGATTTTTTTTCATGACAATTGTCAAAATCCCCTGGCTCTGGGGTTGCATGCCCTCCTTGACTCCTTCCCCAAGGCCCAAGGGGAAGACATAATTGATATACTGTAGTATATTTTGAAGATTAACTCTATTATTGGGGGAAATGTACAAGAGTACAAGACTACCCAATACTGATAATAGTTCCTGCCCGAAATTACATTTTTATTCAGTTTTTACAAACAAAATATCATCGTGAATAATATTGAAAATTGGTTAATTACCGCAGACAATATGAATGAATTAATAATAGCCTGCCTTGTCAAGTGTAAAATACTTATAAAATAAACAAGGCAATACCTTTATACATTGATTTCCACTGCATCTCCACAACCAGGGATAGATGTTTTCACTGTTGAGATATAAGCAACGACGACCACTACTAAATGCCGACATTTTACACTTTTACAGGTTTGAGCTTTGATACCAGTCACAACAATAAAACTCAGTAAATCTTGCTAAACGCACGTGACGTATTGAGAAGCTTATATTACATATAATCTTTCATTTCAAGTATAAACACGTACTGAACTTTGCTCGGTCTCCTAAAAAGGTTTGTTTTCCTTGAAAGCAGCAATATTTGCAAACAGGCTAGGTTACAAGACCACAATATCAGTGGTTAATACTGACTGATAAGTTCTTCTGACGTTTGTTTATAAGAGCACGTGTATTTTTTAATTCTTGCATAATATTTTAAGTGTGCGTTCACTACACGTGCTGATATCTTGGGAGAAATACGTTGTTGGTCAGAATACCAAATAGTCGAAATAAATTTTAGAAGTAACTCAATTTGTCTTGATTCAATCGCTATATTATTTTGTTTTGAATGAGATTTAATCTAAATTTAAGTGATCTTCATTTACAAATTGTTTTCGGCCATTGTCGGCATTTAGCCCAGTTGATCAATCAGGTAATTCTCCCTGAATTGATAATATCGAATGATCTTTTGTCGTGGGCAGGAAATACGGCCGCAGAAGTTTGGATTTTTACACTTTGTACCTATAATTTCCAGCAGTTTTGGTTGTGTCGAATGACATAATAAAAATGTCGGAATGTAGGTTAAAAATTGCCTGTCCGCCTTTATATCAGTCTATTAATAAGTCGTCTAAGGTCAATGTTAACAGGGAAACCCCGCATTGTGTGTAGCACATTTTAATTAGATTTAATTAAATTTAGGGACCAGGGTGGCAATTCGCGCGGGCTAAACAAAGAGGTCAAAGAGTCTCTGAAACGCGACAATTTTAGACACAGTTTTTGAAATATTTCATAGACAAAGCATGGTAATGGGTAAAACACTCTTCTAAAATCTAAACTACGTTATCGTCCAATTTAAATATCTACGTTCACCATAGATAGTCTAGATATGGCCATATAATCCGTACACATTGCGTGCCAAACAGCTAATGACCATATGTTGCGCGAGCAGCGCATGCAACGCAAGGAACACCTCAACAGTTACACCCTCATGCGTGGTTCACTAGCTATTAACTTTGGTTAATATATAACCTAATTTTACTTATATTCTAGATAGAGGGATTCTTCAGTCTTCACAGGGGTGGGTGTGGGGGCAACTGGGCAACATAGTTCACTAGAGTGACACCCCCCGCCCCCCCCCCCTCCCTGCAGTCTATAGGATTAAAAGAACTCCTGTCTGATGTAGTGGGAACGTTGGAAATATTATTAATTAAGGAAGGATGTTAATAGTAGATCGTTATATAAGGCTGATTAGTTCCATCAGAGCTAAAATATTCGCGCTGGCATCCTATACCTGTCACGTTTTAGGGAGGGTTACTATTTTTAGACTTTTGTAATTTTGTACTCTTTTGTATTTTAAACTTAACCCTAACCCTAATCCTAACCCTTATCCTAACACTTTCCCTAATCCAAACCTTAAAAGTCTAAAAATAGTAACTCCCCCTAAAACGTGACTCATATGTGTATGGTTGCGCGGGAGTTGTGGAATATTTCACGGACGCCCGCACGAATATTTTCGCTCTGTTGGTTATCAGCCTGGAAGGTTTGATTAGAAGCTGGACGAAAAGCAACTCGAGAAGGTAATGATAATGATGTAATATTCAATAACGGCAAAGTTGAATTTTTTTTTTTTCAAAAAAGCATGCTTTCATAATTAGAGAGGTTTCGCATTATGAAACCTCTCATTAGAGAGGTTTCATAATGCGAAACCTCTCTAATTAATAGTACGAAATGCACTTCTGAACTAATTCAATGAACGCAATGAATTTTAATTAATGATCACCTTCATGTGAAACATTATCGTTATTTATTTATCCATCTCTAAGATAACTAAAAATATTGTTTAATAATAAAACATTTCTTGTCCTTTTTAAAAGCATACAACATTTAAAACGGGCCATATAATGACTGCGTGTTTGGAAAGCAGGAAAGATGGCAATCACAGGTTTTCGAAATGGGTTTAACCAACGTTAAAAGCGTCTCTTAATATGTTCCTTTCATTGCCATTATAGTTGATTATGAGCGCCGTATTCTGCAACCTTTCCTTTCCTCCCCCTAATTAATAATAGCATCAGTAGATCAGCATGCATGCTGGATGGTTTAACCAACTTTAAAAGCGTCTCTTAAATTGGATCAACGTCCTGCCAAAGTCTGTGCTTTATATAATGTATAATATATTCCTTTCATTTCCAGTAGTTGACTGTGAGTGCCGTATTCTGCAACCTTTCCTTTTCTCACTACAATAATAGTATCAGCATGTTGGATGGTTTAACCAACTTTAAAAGCGTCTCTTAAATTAGATCAACGTCCTGCCAAAGTCTGTGCTTTATATAATGTATAATATATTCCTTTCATTGCCAGTAGTTGATTATGAGTGCCGCATTCTGCAACCTTTCCTTTCCTCACCACAATAATAGCATCAGCATGCTGGATGGTTGACAAGTGATGAGCAATTATTAAAGTTGTTCTTCCAACACATGCTTGCCGAACCAAAGCTTGCTGAACCACCTGTTGCAATTAAACATCAAAGGATTTAAGGTTAAACTTTAACGAACTTTCGAGGCTATCATATATTTCCAAACCCCTGTTACATTCTCATATATTATCAACAAACTGCAAAAAATCCCGGCCGTATTCTGTCTCAAAAACTTGAGTCAAATAATGCACTCATGCACTTGCAGTGACTCAAAAGTTTAGGGTACAGTCCGGTCTGCGCATGCGCACATATGAGTCTCCTGCCGTGATATAAACACTTTAATTAAGATTTTATTTCATTTATTTTATTATATCGTGATCATTTACTATACTGTAGAAGCATGAAAATATAAATAGTTGTCGAATAAAGTTCAATATTTTGAATACCGAAATGTAAACAAAGGTTTTGTTTACACACGGTTTACATACGGACTGTAGTCCCTAACTGTAAAATTACCTAAAATGCTAAATTTATATGAGCAAATTTATTCAATTTTTCGACTTAAGGGACTGATCATAATTTAGCAGGAGGGGTGGGGAGGTGGAAACAGTGGGGGGGGGGGGGGG